GAAAAAATATAACAACAATGCCATTCTAAATATCCCTGCAGTGAAAAGCCAAAGCAGTCAGAAAAAATACTAGTTCATTAACTAGTATGTGCGTACCAGTTCGACAATTTCGAAGAACTTAGGCGATCAGCGACATCTGCCTTTGAATTGTCAAAGCCAAAAATAAAACGCAATTAATTGCTTTTCTTACAAATCTCGGCTGTGGCGTCACGTGAAGACTACTGGTTCTGGTTCTGAAATCGCAGGTTCGAGGCCGCTTGGAGGTGGTTCAGATTTTTAAAGTTAAATAAATGTAAGTAAAAATAATGTATTCAATTTATAAATAAATAACAAATTTGAAAACCTAATTGCAATGCAAAAAAACATTTAGGAACAAATGCTTGTGCTATAAAAAACAAAGTAATTAAACAAAAATATTTTTTGATAAAATTTAAAAATTACAATAAACAGCTTAAACAAAAAAATAAATTTATAAAAAGAAAAATAAAATAAAAAAAGAAAATAAAAATAAATTTCCCTGCACCAGGGCTTGAACCTGGTACCTCAGGCATACCACGCGAGTGCTTTGCTCTGTCGGCCATTGCGACTGTTGGAGCGCCGCGAGCAAAAAGGCATACTAATGCTTTTCATAGGGGATGAATTGGCAGACTATCTCATCAACTGGTATGATGCTACTAGTATTTATACTAGTAGATGCTGATGCATAGCCTGACAATTGACATCTCGTAGGACATCGCAATGTTAAAAATACCAGTCGCTAACATTGAAAAAGGATAGAACGTGAACTAGTTCGGCTGAAACGCAAACCGGTAGAATTCTAGTTCACAACTAGTAGCTTTCCCTGCAGGGATGTTGGAGTAGTTTTGTGCTACTCTGATGTTATGCAGGAATGGAGTATATGGTCCTGCCCTAGGACATCGCAATGTTAATTGGACCATAATATTTTTTAANCAAACCGGTAGAATTCTAGTTCACAACTAGTAGCTTTCCCTGCAGGGATGTTGGAGTAGTTTTGTGCTACTCTGATGTTATGCAGGAATGGAGTATATGGTCCTGCCCTAGGACATCGCAATGTTAATTGGACCATAATATTTTTTAAATGAATTGTGGTTAATTTTAGAGTACTCCTTGGTCCTTAGGGAGTACTCTTTACACGCATGCATGGAGTAGTCGTGATTTTTGCAGGGAAAGAGTTGTAGAAAACAAAGTGAGATGTTCGCAAGTTCCGGCGGAATTTGTATGCTGGTACAACAACAACAAGCGCGTGCAGTACTCATAAGTTAGCATGTGAGCACAAAATCAATCAACACTTTAAAATTAATAGTACAAATTTGTTAATAAGTGAAAAGCCATTTTTTTATTTATGTAAGCACAGATATATTCAGCATTTTTACGAGCACCTCTCACTGGCATTAAATACATACACAATTATATATATGTATATGTATGTCCACTCGTTAATATTTGCGGCAATTACTTTAAACATTTTTTTATTTTCCACCAAATTTGTAAGCAGCTGAAGCAGCAGACAGCGTGGGATTGTCAATGGCTGGTGAATGAATCAAGCCACAAGTGGGTATTTCCCAAAATGAGTGAAAATCATAAAACCAAGCGTGGCGAGCAAGTAAGAAAAAGTTTTCGAATACACAGTGTGTATCGATTTCGAAAGACTTTCTTTAATGTATGTATTTATCTTTTGGTATGAATGTTTGCATGTACGTTTGTGCATATGTATGTACGCATATTGACCATCTACCAATATTAAGTTTTTTTATTTTTTATTTTATTTTTATTTTTGTGAAAACTTTTACTTTCGCACTTTTCACCTAATGAAAGCATACTGCTGTTAACAGCTTGAAAATAATTATCGTTTAGTTCAACTGTGCACCATACCATACCCCGCAATGTAGTTTGGATTTTCCCAATAATTGAACTAAATGAAAATATATTAAATTTATTTTAACTAAAAATAAAGAAAATCAAAATTATACATTAAAATCACTTATCCATATGTAAGTAAGTAAATGTTACCGTTTATCAACCCTTAATATACATACATCGTGCCTCGTCCAATCGATGACGCCAGTTTTCATTTTTAAATATATTTTCAATATATTTTACAATTAAAAACACACTAAAAAAAGGTCGGTTTTATTTTTTAAAAGGCTAATTTTCCACCTCACTGCCAGTGGAATAGCTTCAAATACATCATGTGTACTTCCAGGGTTACCTACTTTATTTCATTTAAAAAATTGTGGCAAAAATCGGATGAGATATTTACGAATTCTTTAAAATTTCTCTACAATTCCGAATACTCTAAAAACATGGTTTTCAGGGTATGCACATAAAGTGATTCAAACAAATTACCACGTGTTGATTTTTTTTTAAATATTCGTAATGTTTTTCGAGCTAAATTTTTTTGATACTTTTCTAGAAAAATACCATGCAAGCTTTACTTAACCAAAACCATATAAATCACAATACAAACTTTATACAAAATTACGGAAAATTCAATAAGTTTTCATTCAAATTTCTACTTAATTAATCTGAATCTTTAGACAATTTTTGGGTATGCAGTTTTATAGCCTATACAATTTTAGTCCATTGAAGTGCAAGTTTCAAATGGCTAAAAAATCTCGTTGACTTTTGAGAATTTTTTTCGGTGACGGATTTTTGGAATATTTTTTCATATACAAAAGCATGAGTTGCTTATGAAATAAAATGCGGGAGACCGTTAGCAACAATTTCAAAAAATCAACGCCAGTTTTTATAAATTGCATTTGTTATATAAAAAAAAAAATCCGAAAGAGTAGTCTCCAAGAAAAAAATCTCAAAAATCATCCCGCTTTTTTAGCCGGTAGAAACTTGCACATACAACTGCATACCTACCCAAAAATTTTCTAAAGATTTGTATTAAAAACTTTAAATTTTGAGGGAAATTCGTTGAATTTTCCTTAAATTTTTTTTTAAGTTTAAATCTGTGTTTTATATGTTTTTGAGTAAAGCTTGGACGGTATTTTTAACGAAAAATAACAAAAATTAAATTTTAAAAATTTAGCACGAAAAACCTTACGAATATTTAACAAAAATCAAAACGTGGTAATTGTTTGAGTCACAGTATACATATATTTAATTTTGAGTAATTGCTAAAAATAGCCGCTTTCTATCCAACTTTACATCACCTCTGCTGAGCGATTTTACTTCGCTGGTAGTAATCATCTCAGTACATACAAATGTATGTACAACATACATACATACATATCTGCATATGCTGCAGAGTCAATACCCAGCTAAGAGCAAACTTCTCATATCCGGTTTTGAATGAGGGCCAGTTAGGAGTGTGCTAAATTGTTGCATGCAACCGGAATGATGAAGAATTGCAAGTAGCTGCAATTAAATGAAGAAGCAACACAGACTTGAAAAGAAATTTACAGAAGTCGAAAAATAATTTGAAAGCAACTTGAATGAATGTGCATGCATACTTCGAATAAATGTATTTATCTACATATATAAAGACATACATATACATATATGTAATTGTGTACATACATACATATACAGTATTGGAAGAAAAAGTAACCTCGCGCTGATAAACAGAGATAAACAGCCAAATGCCATGCACCGAACATAAGGAGAGGTAGATAAGTAAGAGGGCATAACAACAGTAAGACCAGAAGTAAATAACCATACTGCGGCAACACGAAAGTCGATGAAACATTCAATGAAGTTGCTAATGATGTTTTGTTGCTGCAACATAATTATCGAGATGGTGCTTCTTGCTCAAGTGAATTTAAAATGATCTTGCAGAAATGCTATACGAGCAACCACGAGCAATCGCAGAACGGAATGAGGAAAAGAGAGTTTTGCTAAAAAAAAAGCAGATATTCAAGTTAAAAATATTTAACAACCAAACTAAAAAAAACAATAACTGCTCGGATGGAATGCGTGTGCGGTATGTTATAGGTAACATGACAGGGAGTTGTATCATTACAGCGATATGTCAGCTTTGGAAGGTGAATTATGGGTCGACTTCGACATATCGTCAATGTGTTTGCAAAAACTACCCATCGATCAATTGCAAAACCGCCTATCTCACGGCACTCAAATTTTACCGAAAAGCGAATATACGGGGTTTCCTTGAAGGCATTGCCTTGATAGGCGGTATTTTTTCTGTAACTAAAAGATTTTTTAGAAATTTTTGTTTATTGTTGCCGCCACAAAGCAACACTGCTGCATGGTAAGGTGTTTCTAGCAATTAAAGATGCTTTTCGCCAAAGCAATTTTCAAAATGCTTTGCAATTATAGCCATGGCGGAAAGATTAATCGGAGCTCACGTTACCATCAAAAACCTATTTACATCAAAATTGCAGATATAAGCCCTAGATATATTAATTTGGATTAAAAAACTTGCTTTTAATTACAACCACCTACCTTTGGTTTGTTCAGCCATTTTCGAAACGTATCCATTTTATGCCTTGCTTGGGTCCTTCGACGTAGACTTTCTGAAAGGCCGATACAGTTGTTGCAATGCTTCGGTCACCAGCAATATACTACTATAACACTTAGATACACTATCTATCTATACTTTGATTAAAACTTTTTTATTTTATTCCTTGTAATCTTGCCTTTCGTCAACAATTTTGTTAGTTTTACTTATATGCACATTTGAGTGCTGGTCTTTTTGTTATTGTGTAAAAAGGCGTCGTCCTTCGGCCAAGCGCAGCACAGATGTACGTTTTGCACTTGCACAGATGGCCAAAATGCAGCAACAAATTATTATATGTATATACATATATTCGAAGGCTGCGAAGGAGCCTGTACAAAACGTTAAATACCGCCCGGAATGAAAGTCCACAAATATGTATACGAGAAATGCACACGTACGCAACGAGTTGTAGGCATGCACCCACACAGATTAGGGAACAAGAGCAAAACAAAGAAACACTACGAGTCAGCAATGACGCAATGGAGCGTAGATAGTAAAATGCAGAGATTTTTTAAAGCTCTGAAAATGTGTTACACTGCACACTTGCTCCACGGGCTACAGATAGTATCAATGGCGTTGCACTAAAGCTTTATAATCGCTTCCACTGCTCCAATGGCCTTTTTTTAATTACGCGCTGCACTCCAGACGCCCAAAGCACACACTTTCGTTCGTTTTTCTTGCTACAACTTTACTTCTTCACTTGTCGTGAAGTTACCGCCCTAGCACACATAGCACTTCAAATAAATTTTACAATTGCATTTTTACGCCAAACAACTTTTTTGATAAATATTTGTAATTCTTTATCTGCATGGAAACTTTTGCAATATGCTTGCATGGAAATTTTCACGTTACTTTTTTTGCTTTGCTCACATCACACGAAAAATCATCACATGTTCGCAATAGCCCCACGAGGTGATTTTTCCACTGGAATAGACAGGCGCGTTTGTAATTTTAAACTTAAATTGTTCGGTCATTTAAAATTAAAATAAAAAAGATAACTCCACAATTTACTTGTAAAAAAATGAATTGCACTCTGACTTATTAGTGGATCCACACTTGGCCACAACAAAATTACGATTGACGAAAAGTTGAAGATTGTCGCCATCATGCTTGAATTAAATATGATTGAGCAGCGGCGAGTGGACGTTTTTTTAACGCCGCTATTTAAAAAGACTGATTTCTTTTGGCTTGCGTTCATCGTCAGCCATGGGATATAAATAAAATTATGTGAAATATTTTTCTTTTTTTAACAAATGCTGTAAAAAAGATAATTTTTGATGAAATTATTGATACGAAATATAAATTTAACTGTTGTTAGTATATTCATTTGCTGCCAAGCGGTCCTTGCAGCTATGGACAGGAATTTCGATACGATACGATATCATATCAAATTACTCGATAGTTTTCAAACGATAGTATATTCCAACGCAAATTTATACAAGGTGGTGTTGATGGCGAATTTAGATTTTCGCCGCTGTACTTCCTAATGTCAAAATGATGTGTTTATTGTAAACAAGGCGAATTCATTTTACAACCAACACATCATTTTGACGCTAAGAATTACTGCGTCGTAAATCTAAATTCACCGACAACACCATCTTGTATAAATTCGCCTTGAAACACATCATTTTGACCAAGGCGAATATATACAAGGTGTTATTGGCGAATTTAGAATTTCGCCACGGTACTTCTTAATGTCAAAATTATGTGTTTGTTGTAATACGAATTCGCCTTGTTTACAACAAATACATCATCTTGACATTAAGAAGTACCGCGGCGAAAATCTTAATTCGTCCGTAACACCACCTTGTATAAATTCACCTTGGTGGTGTTACTGGCTAATTTAGGTTTTCGCCGCGGCACTTCTAAATGTCAAAATCAAGGCGGATTTATACAAGGTGGTGCTACTGGCGAATTTAGGTTTTCGCCGCGGTCCTTCTTAATGTCAAAATAATGTAATTGTTGTAATAAGAATTCGCCTTATTTACAACAAACACATCATTTTGACATTAGGAAGTACCGCGGCAAAAATCTAAATTCGCCAGTACACCACCTTGTATAAATTCGCCTTGATTTTGACATTCAGAAGTATCGCGCCGAAAACCTAAATTAGTCAGTAACACCACCAAGGCGAATTTATACATGGTGGTGTTACGGGCGAATTTAGATTTTAGCCGCGGTACTTCTTAATGACAAAATGATGTATTTGTTGTAAACAAGGCGAATTCATATTACAACAAACACGTCATTTTGACATTAACAAGTACCGCGGCGAAAATCTAAATTCGCCATTAACACCACCTTGTATAAATTCACCTTGAAGGTGGTGTTATCGGATCCGCTGGTTTCACGGCGAATTTGTACCTGCTGTCGAAATGATGTGTTTATTGTAATGCTGCTTTGTACTGATTGTCAATGTGCTTATAATTAGTCTGTTCCAATAGCTTTCCCGTTTACAGGATTTAGTCCGAACTTACAGGATGTCGTTCCTGTTAACATAAAACTTGTAAGTGGAACCACTTTTGAGAGAGTAACTGAGCAACTGTTCCTAGTCAGAAGTTACAAGATTTAGTCCGGAGTTTTTTTCCTGTAAATTCATGAAAAGTGTCAAACGATCAGCTGATTTGCTTGTGCAAACAAAAACAAAAAGCGGTGAAAGCAAAGAACTCGACGACAACGGCTGAGATGTCAGCCGATCTGGGCGGGGTAGTTGTAGCCGCTAAAACAACAACAACAACAACAAAGCAAAGAACCTTATACATATATGTTAAAAAAAAATGGAAGTAAAGTAAGTAATTATTTAGTGATATTTCAGCCAAATCAGTGTTGTACAAATGACATGTAAACCAACCGACTGACGTTTTTACAGGAAATAGTGCTTTTTGCGTTCCCGTACACTTCTGCATCTGATTTCCTTTTACTCTCACTTGAGAGAGCAAAATTGTAGTTTGACAGTTCCACAGGTTTTAGTCCGAAGTTCAAAGGAACAGACTAACCGCCCTATTCCCACACCACTGACAAAACTCAGCGGCTGACTACTACGCCTAATACTATGCCGCAAATTTATTTTAAGCTGTCGTATGACAATTGTCAGTTTTATTGTTATGACCTACTGAGTAAGTGACAACGGCGAAACAATTTTTATATTGTGTTTTAGGCGCAGTAATTGTGACAATAGTCATATGATGAATTTTGCCAGTGTTGTGGGAATAGGGCGGTAAATTTGTTGTTTTAAATTTTTGTTTTTGGTCTGTCAACACCACCTTGTATAAATTCGCTTTGGGGTAGCCCAAGGTGGTGTTGTAAAATCAGCTGACTTCTTCGCCTTACGTGTATTTTGTTTTTGCTTTTACTAATTTGACAGCACACCCATCAAAACATGTAATCTAAATTCGCCTTGAACACCACCTTGTATAAATTCGCCTTGGGGTAGCCGCTGCAACAACCAGGGCTGCCAACCATCCTTAGCTATTGTTATTGTTGGAGCGGGGTTGTTGTAGCCGCTACAACAACAACAACAACAATCCTTAGCTATGAAGTGCCTTATTGGGGATAAAAAAGTGCCAAATAGAAAAATAAAAGGACCAAAATAGGTGCCATTCTTTTTAATTCTTCCCGTTTAGCATTATAATTAGAAACACATTCCTAAAACAAAAGTCCAGTGACAAAAATAAACAGTCGCATACACTATAAATTAAAAAATTTTAGTTGAGAAAAAGAAGTACAAGTAAAGGATTTTACAAAAATGTATTGAAATATTACTATTTTTCAAAAAAAAATTCAGTGAATAGAAGTAAAATAGAGCAAAAAAAATACATGGTTTGAGCGTAGTTGGCGACTCTTTTTGATGCAGAAATGTTGCAGAGCACCTAATCTATATTCAACATGTATTTAAACACTATTCTACATTCGGTGTTGAATTTTCTACATATATTTATTGAATTTCATTTGCAAACTTCAACATTTCGTTTGATACCGTAAAGGATTTTTTGCTAAGAAATACTCGCGACATAATAGCAACAATATTTAATGTTCAGCATGTACCCTGTCCTTGTTGTCTCTTTGTTCCTCAGCATCATGTGGCCAGAATGTTGGACGATTAATGGGATCCAAAGCCTGATCAGGGAATGAATCACGGTAGTCTTCCATTGTCATTTGATCATATGGCAGCAGTGATTTCAGGTGGTCAATACTCTTCTGATAGTCAGCAATGCGGGTTTCAGAGCTCTTTTTGAAGTTATCAATTTCACTCTTGGTTTCCTTGATTTGAGCTTCCACTTGTGGGGTTACAGTATCAGCTGGGTATGGCACTTTCAATGCATCGTATTGTTTTTGGAAGGAATCAACCATACCAGCAATGGGAATCAATTGCTTGTAGTGTGCCCAATTGATCTGTGGTGGGTTTTCAGGATTGGCCAAAACACTGCGCAAGTAAGCGTCAGATTTGGTTTTGAAAGCAGCAAAGTTGGCCTTTTGATTGGCAGGAACACGCTCAGCCAGAGAGGCCCAGTTAATAGAACTCTGTGCAATACGACGTGAAGACATTTCAACAGCAGCGAAGGATGATTTTCAGAATAGAATCTGCAAATAAAACGAAGTTACGTCAGTGGGTTAAAGACAAAATTCGTTTTGCTTATGAAAACTAAAAGCACTGTGCTATTTCCGGCAGAACGTGGGTTATAGATCCTTCATTAAATATATTAACTTCGTGGCTGAAGATACCGAATTATGTAATCCAGAGCATATACAGTGTTATGTGAAAAACAATTTGGTTTGGTTTAGACCTAATATTTTTCAGAACACTCAAGTTGCAAGTAGGGTGAAATCCCGTAAATAATGTATTTTACCTTTTTTACCCTAAAAATTGCAAAATTATAAAATAAGTTTTCACAGATTTTTCGCACTCACCGAATTGACAGCTCGATCAAATGACAACGAATGCCAAATGTCAACATCAGCGAATGAAAAAAACAACGAACACAAATGTCAATGGTTCCAGTGTTTTATTAACACATTTTATTAAGACATTTTGGACGCTTTGCAAAAATAAATACGTATATCATTATATCAACCTTCAAGAAAACGTAGTATTCTACATAAAAAAGAGTTTCAATCATTTCCTAATTAAATAACTTCCACCTTTTGCTACATATTGGAGCCGTTTTATTTTATAAACTACCATCACTTGTTCGTTGGTTTTGCACTGTCAAATTGGGCGAGTAACAATCAGCTGTTTATCGAACGATAGGCCAACATTTCCAAATTAATTTTTTTTTAAGATTATTCATATTGCAATCAGATTAGATAATAAATAAAATGCTTTTAAAGCAAATACTTATACCCGGTCAATATCAGGTGCGACATATTTCATCTGCGACAGCAGCTGTAACACGTTTACATCGTTCGGTGTATCGCCGCATGTACCCTACGGTGGTGGTGCAGCCTGATGGTTCCACAATCAACATACGTTATCAGGAGCCAAGGAAAATCATTAAGGTCAGAATTCACAAGAAAAACAAACTTTATACTATTCCGTTTTTGAATCAAAATCAATTTAGTAATTATTTCAATTATCATGCAGTTGCCACTGGATCTAAGCACATTGAGTGAGGCAGAGCGCAAAGCACGCTTGGAAGCACGAAAACCGCGTAAAAAAGTAAAGATTCAAGATGAAGTTGAGGACACATTCAATGCGAAAAAATACATGAAATATATTAAGAAAAAATAAAGTTCATAGGCCAAGTAGGACATCTAAAACATAATTTTAAAGTACACTTCAGTGGAACTTGTCCAAAATTCATAAAAAAAGCTTGTGCCAGGTACTTCTCGATTTGCAGGAATTTAAAGGATTTTACAAAAAGCCGTAGGACACTTCGCGACCAACTCCTTTCTACATTGGTAAACTTATCGCAGTACCAGTTACAACGTCGCGTTTTTGCGCGATCTTATATTTTTGGTTAATGGGGATTTCCAAAAAAGATTGCAGGAGCAGTTAAGGTGCGGTTAAACGTTGCAATGCAAGCGATTTTTCTACGCATTTCACTGTCAAAATACGAAATCGAAAGTCTACTTTCCCGTGTAAACAGTCAGTTTTGGAGAAATCACTTTCGGCAATAAAAGTTGCAAGGTGTAAGTAGCTGTTAGACGTGGAAAGTGCAAGTCATTTTCAAAAGTCTGTCAAACTCAATAATTTTCAAAGGAGATTGCAGGAGCAGTTACACCTTGCATGTAAAATGACTTTCGAAAGCACTTTTTATTTCTGAAAATCGAACNCTCAATAATTTTCAAAGGAGATTGCAGGAGCAGTTACACCTTGCATGTAAGATGACTTTCGAAAGCACTTTTTATTTCTGAAAATCGAACTTTCCGAAACTACTTTTCGTTTTTGTTGTTGTTGTAGCAGCATACAAATTCCCCAAAGACTTTTTGGGGAGTGTTGCTGGAGTGACAGTCCTTGGCCAGATATAAATCTGGGTCGTTCCGGTTACGTAGACCCGACTGTCGTGGGAACGAAACTTTTCGTTTGTTTACACGGTGTATGCAGACAGTAGAATAAATTAATTACACATATTTTTCATAGTTTATTCAACATTTTTATAATTTTATACAAATTCGCCAAAAAAACGAGTCACGCGGCAATACTTGATTGGTCAGTCAGTTGCGAATCAGCAATCTAAAAGCAAGTTGTGAAACAGATAAATTGTGTTGGCAAGTTTTGTAAAGCGTTGTTGTTACATTAGTGAGTATTGTATATTATTTGTTCTGCAATAGAGTCAATTGTACTTCATCTTGAGCGTTTATTTAACAATCCAGCGATTCGAACCGAGAAGATTCTAGGAAAATCCGTTATTTATAGAGCTGTAAAAGTATCGAAAATTTCGACACCCGTATGTATTCGTTAAGCTGAAATTAGTCGAGAACTCAGAATGTATTAATTTTGTCGATTACTTGAGCCCTCAGTGTTGCTTACTACACTGTGCCACTCGTCAATGCCTTTTCATAAACTTACCCTTTCAACTACAATTTTTCGTGCTATAATAGATTTTAGCTAAATATAAACTACTTAGTTTTCAACAAAAACCTTATTCAATAGTAAATTTCAAATATTTTAAACATATTTTGAACATCTAAAGAAGGAGAAATCAGCTGACACGGAAAAATCTTATTTGCTGTCTCCATTAAGCTACATTTACATGAGGCGATTTTCCAGGCGATTCAACATCGCTCGTGTAAATAGTTATTCAAAAAACGCATGCCTCAAAGTAGACATTATCGGCAGTCAAAAAATCGCCTCATGTAAAAGCAGCTTTAGCGATTGTTTATCTGCTGCGATATTCTCCTGCGATGAATCGCTTGTGGAGACCGCTCATCGCAATCGCAGGATATATCGCAGATGATGAACTGTGAAATAGTTAGGCTTTCTGCTCATTGGTCGTCCAATCATAGTTGCGTTATCGTCTCGCCCTGAAATTTTGAGCCGAGCACATGCATTTCAAAGGAGATCTGCACACTTGTCGTTATCGGCTAGTTATCGGCAAATCGTAGAAGATGCAGAAACGGATAAGTACGGCACTGTCGTTTGCTAATCGTTGTGCACGCATTGTTTGTTTACATTTTATGGGGGAAAATTAGTGAAAAAGTTAATATTTGCATTAAAATTGTATAAAAATTAGTATTTTTTTGCATAAAATCTGTGGAAATTATTAAAAAGTGGATAATTGCATTAAAATTTAATAAATATGAGCGTTTTAACTATAAAATATGACGAAATTGTATTAAGTCTCTGTGTGCATACACAAAATACATTCCAGGAAAAGAAAAGAAGAGATATTACTGGAAAATTACGTCTAGAAATGTTGCAGCACAGTCTATATTTAAAAAATTTGAGGTTTTTGTAAATATTTCGCGCAAATATCAACAAAAAAAAACAGAAAATACCTGCTCCAAGTGAATTTTTAGACGCCAAATGAATTGAAATATCACGACCAAGTGTGCAGAAGTGTAATCGTCATGTAATCGTTGCTTCATGACGATAACTATGACTCAACTATGATTGGACGACCAATGAGCAGAAAGCCTTAGTTTCACAGCTTGTTTTACATAGAATTTTCACAACGTTGTGTTTTTCTCTAAAACATATGTTAAAAACAACGTGGAGTAAGCTATTTTTGCGAATATAGTTATTTTAGTCATTTGGAAAGTACTCGTAAGCACTTTTTGAAATTAAATCTTCTGCGATGAAATGTCCAAGTACAAAAATTTCTCTGCGATGAGCATTCGCTTGCGATGAAACTGACAGATAATGGAGATAGCAAGTCAACTAGCCAGGGATAAACGTAAGTGGATGTTCAGACACGGAAACTTTTGTTGCGGCAACTCGAAGCTTGTTGTGGAGCGAGCGACGAGGCAAAGGGACGGTTACCGAGTTTCTCGTACTCGGGCAACACGCTTTCAAAACGTAGGCGTTTTTGACATCCGCCTAAGAATGAAAACAAACCAAGAAAACGAAAAAGGCGCGGTAATTGAGTGCGATTAAATTGGTATTTAATATAAAATATACAAAGGAAACTTAATGACAATTAGCAAGAAAGTTCATAAAATGTGGTTTTCAAGATTGAAAGTGTTTTATAATCGCATATCATTACCATAGGTCGATTTTTTAATGCCAGCGTTCTCGCCGCAGACGTGCACCTACTTTTTAAGAAAAATTTAAGCCTTTTACCAGACCAAAAAAACGACAAACTTTCTAATCACAAAGCACTTCATTTTATATCATAAATTTGTCCATTTTTCATCCAATTAAAAAACGTGCTAGAGCAAAGAGAAGGAACGGGCACTTTCGCTGCAATTATAACGAGTTGTCCCTTCCTTCCTGTTTTCAACGCTCTTTGCTACAAGTTAAGTTGTAAAAAAGTGTTGTAATTGCTTTAACAAGTATTGTTAATAGTTGTTATTGCCTGAACAAGTATCGTAAAGTGTTTGCTGTACAATGAAGATAATTGTACTGCAATTTGGTAATCTCAAGCTTTTATTTAACAATCCAATGATACGAGCCAGTTGGTGATTCCGTCAACTAAACAAGGACAATCGTAACAACCTAAAATTGCAACCCTAAAGCATGAAATCAGTTGGCAACGCAAACGCCATTCAACTGAATTGATAGTTGGTAACGCAGTTACGAGTTGTTCCAGTTTCTTCTTTCAGTCCGTTTTTTTCATTCGTGCAGAAAAGTCGAGGAAGGTTGGCAGTATTTGCCAAAAATAACAACACATCCAATATAAACAAATATTGAAAAACGAGTGAAAAATAAACATATTTAAAGTGAATTACATGAAATGCAGTTCAAAAATAAACAAAGTATATACTTTTCATACAGTAAAATAAATCTACAGCAAGAGTATAAAGCAAAAAGATTGCACAAAAAATACAAGACTCAAATACAAGTAAAGTCAAAAAGTGATGTGAAGCAACCGTAAAGAAAATTGCGATTAAAAATTGAGGAAAAGAAAATTCCCAGACGACTGCTACCAATTGGAGTGCATTGGATTTTGCAACAAAAGTAATTACATATTTAAATAATTAATATATCGTAGTTTACTCTGTTTTAAATACTATGTATTTGTTTTCCCATTCGCGTGTTTGCTTTATTCTACTCTGCCTCCTTTACCAATTTTTCTCGGGGGGAAAATTCTACGTCGGAATTTACGGCGGCGTCTGAGGCGCTGCAGCTTTGCTGCTGTAGCAGTTTCTTTTCCCTGGTGCTTTCCTTTGAATTTTCTTATATTTTCTTCGCTTCGATTGTATGTACAAATTTTCATCGACACGGATCGTTTGTCGTAGTGTTGTATTTCTGACTGCTTTAGAAAAGTTAACAGCGAGATGTGAAAGAAAACTGGCGGTAGCTTTGGTCCCGATGTGCTTGGTTGGATTCTGATTGGATTGGATTCTGAACGTATTCGGGGAACTGT